TTTTGAAGTTTTGTTTGTTTTTGCGAGGGGGGTCACACTACATAGTTCAGGCTATCTTGAACTGCTCAACCCAGGCTGGCTTTGAACTTCTGTCTCAGCCTCCCTAGTGCCACCACTGCTGAAAGCAATTTCCAAAGCAGATTTTCCATTGTTGCAAATATGTGGTTCTGCTCTTTGAATTTGTCAAAAATATCACAGCTGTAGAAATTAATCTAGCACGTGATGAATAGCACAGCCTGGAGATGAGAGTTCTGCTAGCCACTGATCTCTGTATTTTTGCTCTTCACTTTTTTTTGGGGGGGGCGGGGGGCGGGGAGATGGTTCAGCAGAATACGCACTCGTCTGGCAAGCGCAAGGGCCTGAGTTCAATCCCCGGTTCTGCCAAAAAAAAAACAAAAACAAAAACAAACTTTTTTTTTTTGGAACTGGGGATTGAACTCAGGCCTTTGGCAAGCGCCTATTCTACTGAGCTATATCCCCGGCCCCTCACTTTTATTATTTATGTGTAGGGAACTATGATCTTTCCTTTTTTTTTTGCAGAACCAGGGATTGAACTCAGGGCCTTGCACTTGCCAGGGAAGCGCTTATTCCACTGAGACATTTCCCCAGACCAGATCTTTCCTTTAGTTATGTTTAAACAAAGGAGAAAATATATAGGGAGAGCATGAATTGGAACATTAAAAAAAAAATCTTACAATGTTAAATTTTGTTTTTGGCCGGCTTCAACAGCAATTTCACCAAATGTTATTTACCAAGTAATATATGACTTATACTAAGGGATATATGCGATGTACACCCAAGTCACGAACCCCAACAACAAAACGAACATAAAAACCCAGTACCCGATTAAGACTGCTCCTCCCATAGTAACACAATCTGGCCTCTCCCCTTGCCGGCCTCAACCTGCAGCTCTGCATTCCATCTAAACCTGTTCCTCCTCTCCACTCCTCATCCTACAGAATGCACCCCTCCCACTCAGTGACTCACCAAGCCAGAGACCCCTCCTCCGCTCCACACCCATTACCAAGTTTTACCACGTCTTCCACCTCCAGTCCCTAGCCTACCTGTCCCCAGGTCTCTAGTCTTCAGCCTAATTCTGTCCTTTTCCATTACTTCCTGGGGACTACTCACTCCCACTACTCACTTGCCCTAGAATCCCTGTTAGTTGTTGTTTTCTGTATTTTAAGGAAGGGTCTACAGGGTGTTGAGGGTCTTACTACTAGATCAGAGTCACAGTGATCTGCCTGTTTACAGCCTTCTAAGAGCTGGGATTCCAGGTGCACGCTACCACGCCGGGTCTCAATGGCCACCTTGTCTCAGCCAGCTAGGATCCCCATATCTTCCCTTAAATCCACAGCCTGCCCTTGCTCTCCCAGGGAGAAGTCTGCAAATTTTATTAGGCCTAGCTGACCCATAGCTCCAGATTCCTCTGGGCTCTTCATGGGCATCTCTGTATTCCAATGACAGTGAACTTCTCCATGTTTCTCAGGAGTGTGTGATTTTTCTGTGCCTTGGCGTATTTTACCCCTTCCTGGGGCGTCCTGTCCAGGACACAGCTGTGAGCAGTTAAATCCTCTGTGGGCAGATTTCCCTGACTCATTTCTGAAAGGAGCCTTGCTCCTGCTGTTACTCTGCCCTGCTGTCACATGCGATGTCCCTACTTAGAGCAGCAATGTGACTGGTGGAGTCCCTGCGTTTCCTGTTATCAGTTTGGTGTTCTGTAAAATACAGTGTCTGTGACTCCCTCGTTATAAGCAATGCATGAGTTAAGCCATGTGGCAATGCCAAGCACAGGTACACATTCCATAAGCGTTACTAGTACTGTTACTGTCACAGTGTTGTTTCCTGGCTGTTCCTGTAGGCTACCGGAATTCCTTTCCCCAGAGACTACGCTATGTTTAGCTCTGCATCCTGAAGGCCTAGAACACTGATACATGGTGTTCAGTAAGTATTTGCAGAAAGAAAGAAAGAATCCTTTGTGTCAGAAAAGCAACATAGAGCTTACTATAACCACCCTAATGTGAGGCCAGAGAATGCAACAGTCACTTTGAAGCTAGTCTAAGGTACCCAGGTTGGCCTTGAATTTGGAAGCCCCTGACCTCAACTTACCAATAGTATGGATCACAGCAATGTGGCCTTGAACAAAGATATAATAATTTTTTTTTTTTTGGTGGACCTGGGGATTGAACTCAGGTCCTTGCACTTGCCAGGGAAGCGCTTATCCTACTGAGCCATCGCCCCGGCCCCCATAGTAATTATTTTCACAGAAAGTATTTTTTATGGTTTATGGCCAAATATTTACCTTTTCTATACTTTCCTTTGTTATCATTTTCTATAACAACACAGTGAATTACATTTTATAGAGCTTTTCTCAGGCTGTAGGGAAAGAACATGTAAGAAGTTGTAGGGAAAGAACATGTAACAAGTGCCAGCAGCTTCCTTTGGAAACACACACGCACATCAGCTGCACAGATACAGGATTCACAAAACGAACACCTCCCTTAAGAATCCCCTGCTAAAACCAGAACCATAATAAACCAGTACCCTTATTGGTCACTCAGAAAGCCTCACTTCTTGTGAATATATTCTCTTCCACCAAACATTTAAACCTTTTAAGATTTTCCCTATGTGATTTATTCTTCTCCGAGTCAAAGCAACCCTTTCAGTAAGTTAAAAGTTAGCTACTTTTAGTAGCATGAGTCACAGTCATATAAGGCTGACAATTACCTCGGCTCTTCTTTACTTAAAACCAGGTTCTCATTCTTATCAAAATAGACCATATTTTTAGAATGAGTTATTTTTTAGAGTAAAAAAGTATGATTTACAAACAAGAAAGGCAATTCTTCAAAAAGACATCCACAAACTTTATTATTCTATCTTTATCAATTTAAGACTTTAGATTTGCTACTACTAGGAAAAAGTTGAATGTACCAGAATCCTTCGGAAACAGCTCTGAAAATAATCTGAAAAATACCCTGGGGATGGCAGGACAGCTCAGGAGTAGACGGTGTGCGAAGCCCTGGGTTTTTCGCCAGCAGTGGGCATGTGAGGTGGAGAGGCTGAACCACATGAGCTTGCCGCATATCATCACAGAAAGAGTAAAGCAAGCCGACCTCCTTGTTTGTGCAGGCAAACCACTGAGCTCCAGAAGGATGCTCCTTCTCATAGGCTGGCTCAGTACCCAGCACTAGGCAACCTAAAGCAGCAGGATTCCAGGTGGTACAATGGCAACTTCCCAGTTTCTGAGGACAGGGAAGTCAGGAGGAATCCATACCACCTGGAAACCGGCTGGTGACAGCATGGAGGACACAAAAGGCACTGAGGAGGCCGTGCCCTGGGCCCGTCCCCGGCTGGAGTGCTGCAGGACTGTAGGTCAGGACTGATTCATTTGTGGCATCCTGCGCCTCGAGTGTGCCCAGAGATGCAGGAAATGGCCGAGGCTTTACCAGAGAGGTTGGAGTCAGGGTCAAACTGTAAGTTACTCTATTTGAGGCCCACGCATTTCCACCTAGAGGGTGCTGAGACCGAAAACAAAATAAAACATAAAACATTCAGAAGCTAATTTTTTCTCATATTCCA